TAACACAATCAGAGACTGGATATATCCCCCCCTCTCTCTGGTCGCTGAAATGGGGAATTGAAATTACGGGCCAAAAGTTGTATTTACAAGTAGGCCTATTAAAAGTAAGCAGAGGACACCAAACCAACTGAGACCCGTCTGTCCGCCGCATTTACACACTGTACAACACACACACCTACACACTGTACCACACACACACCTACACACTGTACCACACACACACCTACACACTGTACCACACACACCTACAGCTCCTAAAGCATAAGCCGTTGTGTATTTTATTATGTGAAGCACTAAATGGTCTTAGAAAAATATCGACTCTTTGTTTGTAGATATCTACTAAACTAAAGCAAATAAAGAGAGTAGGCCTGTTATACTGAGTGATATATATTATACACACTGCTCTGCTTTCTGCACGGACCTTACAGCTGTTCTCTCTGGAAACATCGCGACGCGATGAAAGCAGTTTCTAAAATTATATCCAGGGGATGCATGCAGAGCTGTTATTGGCTGAGATAAGTCCGGCCGTGCGTCACGCCTCCACCGTTCCCGGAAATGCATCCGTGGAGGAGCGGTGGAGGAACCATCAGTGTATCCTCGGTTAGAGCTCCTCCAGAGAGCCTCCTCGACGCTCGATCCTCGGTCCTCGGTGTGCATTTAGAGAAATGAGATGTCCTTCAAAATGGCGCGCTGAAATTCATTTCCGGGTCACTACCGGAGGACGGAGGAGTGGAGGAGGGGAAATTTGAGTATTGAGAAGCCTCGATGGTGTAGTCCCAAACGATAGCTGAGGATTCTGGGTAGTGTAGTGTCTTCAGCCATCGTAAACTCTGAACAAATATTTTTTTCTCGGAATCGAAGAGGGAAAATACAAAATGCATTGCACACAATTTAAACCAATCAATGTTGTGTAATCAACAAGGTGTTTTTCAGTAGTGCAGATACCACTGTAAAATCAATCAACAGTAAAGAGAATACTTACTTCCGGGTGTAAAACCTTCCGTTATCCAATGGGAATGGACAACCCAGTCTCACAAAAAAACGTGTACTAACTACGTTGGTCCACAACGTAGGACGTAGTATTTCTACAAAAACGCCTCTGAAATTGTAAGATCCCTACGTTTTTTTTCACCATTCATTCCAATGGCTGGCGTCTATGTCACGTGATCTTCACATTTCTCCCTGCAGAAAAAAAAAACATGGCCGAACTTCGTTTTATTCTCGGTGTAAAATGCCTATTTTCAAGTTAGTTTGGCCATTAAAATGCGTTTTGATGTCATTTGATGCGAGAAATATGAGTTGTTATTTCAGATTATGTGTGCAGTTGATGTACATGATCTTTAGTTTGCTAGTTATTACGAAGATTACTTCAGGAAATTGTGTCTATACACAGTGGCGTTTTTATATGTACAAAAGTGGTGGGGCACAAAAAACGTAGATGTCTATATATAAGCTTCTGAGGTTCATGGCTGGTGAGGCTCTGACTCTTCAGGTTTACAAATATTATATTTTGACCTAAATCAAAATATCATATTATTTTCAAAAGCTTTTTTTGTCTGATGCTTCAATTAATTTTAAACAGACAGTTCAACAAAAGGATACCCAAAAAATATAATTGTATCATTTAAATATTGAATTGTTCTCTCTTAGTAAGATCCCATTTTCAATCAAATTGCAGTCTTACCTTGACATGAAGATGAAGTCCATTTGCATATCCTTCTGGACAAAAATCTCTATTACTTTTTTGTAAAAGTCCTCCTTATGTTCTTGTAGTTTCAAAAGTCTATCATAAATCTGATCTAATCAATAGATTTATGATTCGAAAATTATAAAAGTAGGGTAGACATGTGGATATTATCTGGCTGAACAAAACGTGCATTTATCTAACAGGTTTGTTTCCCACAGATCTTATTTGGAGCTATTTTCTAAAATCCTATGGAGAAATATCATTGCTTTTTTGTCGAGGGAAGCCATGCGCAGCATACTTCCGGGTTTTAGGACGCCTCACTGCAGCTCTCTCTCCTCCTCTTCACACATCACACTTTTCGCGGCACACGTACTTACAGCCAATCAGCTCTGAATGATGTGAGATGACGTATGGTGGGGATGGCAGCACTATGCCCCTATGGTCATTATTTTGTTGCCACACACATTAAATAGGACAATACTCTGAGCATGCGCAGTGTAGTTTTTACAGTCACCATTGACTTAAACAGGGAGAGGGAGGGGCAGGATCGGGTTTTGTCCCACATGGCTCAAAACAGCTCAATAGGCACACACTGTAGACACTAATTAGAAGAACACAGACTAAAACAGCAATGTACAGACGAATCAGATGATTAAACATGATCTTAAAATATATTTTATATATTTTTTAATTTATCTTTTGCATTTTTTTGTAATCATTACTTTTAATACTTTCTGCTGACACTAGGTGGGGCTGTGCCCCACCTGCCCCTAATGACCAGTCGCCACTGTCTATACAACGTTTTCATTGTCACCAAGGTGGTTGCTAGGGATGCTGCTATCGATATTATTTCTGTTATGTTGTGTAACTGTTTAATGGTGTTATCTTTATTGCTACCCCCTTTCCTGTCAATGTATAGTGTTGGTCCACAGCGCAAACGTATTAGTTTAACAAAATCCGCATCTAAAATTGTGGCATAGATACGTTATTTCCCCCTGTGCAATTCTCCATTTACTCAACAATAACACATAATTATCCTTGTGTTTATTTATTTGTTTGATTAATAAACACAAGTTGGAGTCCGTCAGGACCGAGGGTCGGAGCAGCTCATTTGCTTTACAGAATATTACACCTGGAAGTAAGTATTCTCTCCGCTTCGCTTGTCAAACCCCGTGATAGTCCTCAAGCTCTGTGATTGGAGAGTGTGCCGAGCGTCGAACAGCACTTGAAATGGGATGGAACCACGGCAGACTGTCCAAAACTGGATTTGAACGGGTCCACCCCGTCCCCAGAACTACACATGCTGGCTATTGTGTTTCGCAACCGTTCGCAACATGTTCAATGGCACGTCTCTACTGGGAGTTGTAGTTTTAAAAGACGTTTTCGTATTTCCCATAATAAGAAGTGGCCAGTATTAAACTGTGTACATCCCTGGAGGTTTAGGGGATAGGAAACACTCAAATGTAAAACATATAATTAATAAATGGGTGAAAATTGCTTGTGCCCATAATGGGCAGCATTAATATATACCCATATGCCAGCTAAGGTCAGAAGAGCTTTATTTAACAGCTGGTCTTATGTCTGTGACCCCTCCTGTTGTTCATTGATAAGCCTGAAACATGCACTTGTCAAGGTTCAGAGGCACATTTTGCAAATATGGCAGTAGCCATCGATCATCTTAAGATAAGATATACTTTATTGATCCCAAGTTGGAAACATTTGCGTTACATCAGCATGTGTAACAGTTGTAAATATGCAGTGGTGTTTATTTGTAAATCATTTAGTATAATCACACAAATTCTGTGTTTTATATTTAATAATTCTATGTTCTTTATTTATTGAATGTTCAATACCTGACAAGGCCGGAGATTAAAAACTTTGGTCGCAGGTTCCTCAACAGTGCATTACAAGACATCTATCAATATGTGTGTACCTCCACCATTAAACTGTCGTATTCTGCACATTTCTTATACTATCTACATACATCTTATATAAGAGTATAATACATATGTATAATATCAGTTAAAATAAGTGCTTCAACATAGTTAACATTGCTGGAGGTATACACACATTTTGTTAAACTAATACGTTTGCGTTGTGGACCAACACTATACATTGACAGGGGAAGGGGGTAGCAATAAAGATTACACCATTAAACTGTTACACAACATAACATAAATAATATCGATAGCAGCGTCCCTAGCAACCACCTTGGTAACAATGAAAACGTTGTATCGACACAATTTCCTGAAGTAATCTGTGTAATAACTAGCAAACTAAAGATCATGTGCATCAACTGCACACATAATCTGAAATAACAACTCATATTTCTCGCATCAAATGACATCAAAACGCATTTTAATGGCCAAACTAACTTTAAAATAGGCATTTTACACCGAGAATAAAACGAAGTTCGGCCATGTTTTTTTTTTCTGCAGGGAGAAATGTGAAGATCACGTGACATAGACGCCAGCCATTGGAATGAATGGTGAAAAAAAACGTAGGGATCTTACAATTCCGAGGCGTTTTTGTAGAAATACTACGTCCTACGTTGTGGACCAACGTAGTTATTACACGTTTTTTTATGAGACTATGGAATGGACGCTCACATTGCTCTTTGCGTCCGTAAAACAATAAAGGGGAGATGTTCAAATAGGAATATAATTATCTTTTAAATAATGTTAACTAAAGGGAACAATCTATTTGACACAGCTGCAGCTCTGGCCTTCCTTAAAAACTAACTAATTTAATAAAAATCACAGTATTACACACAATGCATTGTTTTTTGAAAACAAAAATGTGTAACTAATGCACCATAATATCATTCTGACGAAAATTAAACATTATTATGAATACAAATAAAATAAAAGAAGCCTTCCGTGAGTTACTACAAGCTATAAAGTGGATTTTAAAAACGTTTTAGCATAAAAGCTCACTGCTAGACGTTGTAGAAATGTGTGTGTGCGCCAAGACAAAGAAGCCTCATTCAATTTACATTGGCGTTGTTTGCGTGGCGCAGACACGTAAATGTAGCAGAATTCGTGACTCCACCACGCACTGCAGTGTTAAGGAGTCGTGGTGGAGTCACGCATTCTGGTGAGACCGGGTTAACCCGATCTACATGATCAATATACAGGGCTTACTTTGTATACATTAGACAAGTCTTAACAAGGCCCACCTGTTGCAAGCTAATTGAACACAGGTGCAACCATTAGCTGAGGCTGCACCTGCCTTGTTGATTGGCTGCCTGGTGGTAATATGTGTCAGTATTAAAAGCCCTGTCTCATGCTTCATTGCCAAGTGCTCTCCACCCGCAGTGAGTTTTATTTTACAGAATGGGAATCCTATGAGCACCTATCACAGCTGTATTGGTTGTCACAGCACCTGCTGATGCTCAAATAGTTGTGGCAAAGAAAGTTATCTCATCTCCTCACATTACCAGCAGTCATGTGCAACAGGATGATACGCAAGAGAAAAGGCACTGGTGTTTACCTGGCTGCAGCTATTATTCTGACGTGTTATTTTGCGCAAACTATAGACTGTTATCGTCTGAAGAAAACAGAAAGACGAGAAGGGAGAAAAGATGCCGATACAACAAATGGGTTCCAAGAGGGGACAATTGTTTTCGGGAGAGCTTTTGAAAAAGGGTCAGGACTTGATTTTCAAGTCACAGGCGGGACCAAGAAGTCATCCTCAAACGCTTATGTGGAGGATGAGGGTGATTATCAACAAGACTCTGCAGGTAAAAATGTTTTGATTTATGTATTGAAGGGTTTGTTATTTTTGCTTGAATTGTTTTGCTTCTCTTTAAAGTATACAAACTATTGAAAAAAAAATATATATATATTATATTGGCCTTCAGGCTGGATGAGCCCAACACAAGTCGCCAGTCCCAAAGACTCGTCATGGAAGAGCATGTCGCCCTCACTGCAGTGTGGTTCGGGCAAGTTGAAGTTCAGAGCGGTGGAACCAGGAGCAACACAATTTGCGGTAGAACAAGGTAAATCAATAGCCATAATATCCTAAATGTAGACTTGATTTATCTCTACCAATGATATAAAACTGAACTTTTTTACCCCACAGGAAATGCACCTCCAATGCCTCTGTCACAGGTCCCGTCTACCTGTGGCTACAGCATGCAGAGGAACTCGCATGCACTTGAAATGTTGGTTCCCTATGATGGCTGCAACATGGTTCAAGAGGTAATGTGAAACTGATTTAAAGAGTGAGGAAGTGAGTTTAAAAAAACGATGGCTAGTGCTGTGAATTGTTATAGTCATGAATGGTGTAACGAGAGCCAAATCAAATGTTTAATCTGCATCATATTGGTCTCAAGCGAAAATGTGTTTTCAGCTTTTTAAATGCGAGTTGTTTTTTGCTTGTTTTCAAATGTACTGATTAACTATGTTTTTTGGATGGGGACCGACATTCAAAAATGTTGCATCATGATGATCTATTTAGAAAATATAGCATGAGATTAATCTTTTGCCTTGTACAGTCGGATTGTAACATTGACAGGTCTGTGTGATTCCTTGCTGTTTCTAATTGTATGTTTTTCTCCCAAAGGGTGTAAGTTATGTACTCCCGATGCGTTGGCAAGGAATTCCAGTCTCTCTCTGGTGTTCCAAACCTGCCGCAACTCCTGCTGCAACTCCTGCTGCAACTCCTGCTTCCAAAACGAATTCCCCCCATTCCCCTGTACCTCGGATGCCTCAATACCCTCGGATGCCTCAATACCCTCGGATGCCTCAATACCCTCAGATGCCCGAGAAAACAACAGCAACAACCACACGGCCTATAACTGCAAAGGCGACTCAAATTCCTGAATACCCTCAGATTCCTCAATACCCTCAGATTCCTCAATACCCTCAGATTCCTCAATACCCTCAGATGCCGGAGACAACAACAGCAACGACCACACGGCCTATAACTGCAAAGGCAACTCAAATTCCTCAATATCCTAAGATGCCGGAGACAACAACGACCACACGGCCTATAACTGCAAAGGCAACTCAAATTCCTCAATACCCTCAGATTCCTCAATACCCTCAGATGCCTCAATACCCTCAGATGCCCGAGAAAACAACAGCAACGACCACACGGCCTATAACTGCAAAGGCGACTCAAATTCCTGAATACCCTCAGATTCCTCAAAACCCTAAGATGCCCGAGAAAACAACAGCAACGACCACACGGCCTATAACTGCAAAGGCGACTCAAATTCCTAAAATTCCTGCACTGCCTCAGATTCCTGAATACCGTCAGATTCCTGAATACCTTCAGATTCCTGAATACCTTCATATTCCTGAATACCTTCATATTCCTGAATACCCTCAGATTCCTGGATACCCTCAGATTCCTCAGATTCCTCAATACCCTCAAATTCCTCAATACCCTCAGATTCCTCAATACTCTCAGATTCCTCAATACCCTCAGATTCCTCAATACCCTCAGATTCCTCAATACCCTCAGATGCCTCAAAACCCTAAGATGCCCGAGAAAACAACAGCAACGACCACACAGCCTATAACTGCAAAGGCGACTCAAATTCCTAAATTCCTGCACTGCCTCAGATTCCTGAATACCCTCAGATTCCTGAATACCCTCAGATTCCTCAATACCCTCAGATTCCTCAATACCCTCAGATTCCTCAATACCCTCAGATGCCTCAAAACCCTCAGATGCCTCAAAACCCTAAGATGCCGGAGACAACAACAGCAACGACCACACGGCCTATAACTGCAAAGGCAACTCAAATTCCTCAATACCCTCAGATTCCTCAATACCCTCAGATTCTTGAATACCCTCAGATTCCTCAACACCCTCAGATTCCTGAATACCCTCAGATTCCTGAATACCCTCAGATTCCTGAATACCCTCAGATTCCTGAATACCCTCAGATTCCTGAATACCCTCAGATGCCTCAATACCCTCAGATGCCTCAATACCCTCAGATGCCCGAGAAAACAACAGCAACGACCACACGGCCTATAACTGCAAAGGCGACTCAAATTCCTAAAATTCCTGCACTGCCTCAGATTCCTGAATACCCTCAGATTCCTGAATACCCTCAGATTCCTGAATACCCTCAGATTCCTGAATACCCTCAGATTCCTCAATACCCTCAGATTCCTCAATACCCTCAGATTCCTCAATACCCTCAGATTCCTCAATACCCTCAGATTCCTCAATACCCTCAGATTCCTCAATACCCTCAGATTACTGAATACCCTCAGATTACTGAATGCCCTCAGATTACTGAATGCCCTCAGATTCCTGAATGCCCTCAGATGCCTCAAAACCCTAAGATGTCCGAGACAACGACCACACGGCCTACAACTGCAAAGGTGACTACAATTCCTATATAATTATCCGATGCCTGAATACCCTAAGATGCCGGAGACAACAACAGCAACGACCACAAAGCCTAAAACTGCAAAGGCGACTCAAATTCCTAAAATTCCTGCACTGCCTCGGATGCCTCAAATACTCAGATGACTCAATACGCTCAGATGCCGTTTCCACAATATATGCCGATGTATCCTCCCTTAATCCTCTTTATCCTCCCAAATATCCAGCTACAAAGCCAAAACCTACTGCGGCGACAACACCAACTACAACTAAACCAAAGGCTACAAATCCCTCATTGCAGCTTCCACCATCTATGCCTTACTATCATCTTTACCCATATGATCCCTCCCTATCCCCAATATCCAGCCACTCAGCCGACAACCACTCCAACTACCACTGTGAAACCAGATCACCCGCCCACTCCGGCACCCCGTCCTCCTTTTCATCCCCATGTTCACTTGCCATACCAATGCTGCCTCCTTTTCCTCCTCCACGCTACCTTACTTAAACAGTTGTAATAAAAGTTTTGAACAGAGACGCTTTCCAGTTTGTGCTTTTGTTAACCTTCAAGTACCCAAGAGACTCTTTATTCCAGGCTCTTCAAGAAGTCTCATTTGGTTTGTGAATGAGTGAACAGTCCATATTGAGAAAATGACATTTAATTTAAACAGGAAAATTGTGCTTAAACTTAAAGTGCACACTTTAAATTCCTACATTTATAAATGTAATTCATGTTTAGCATTTGAAGTGTTGTCATAGTGTGGCTTTGTGTCCACATGGTGGCATCATTGCTCAACCATTTCTTAGGTTTTGAATTGGAACATTTTGTGTTCACACTAGCTTTCCTTGTGTGAACAAGCTTTAAAATGGTTGTTTTTTTTGAAAACGTATTTCAGTCAAAGGTAAAGTTCCATCATGTCCTTTCCTAAAATAAGTAACATCTGCTGTGTGAGGGACGCTGGCTTCACTCATTACATACACCAACTCTGAAATGGAGCATTTACAACTTTGGGCAGTTCTGCAAAAACATTGAACCTTAAGCATTTGTCTCTTTTTGGTTTTGTAAACTGGAGTAAGCAATACTAAATATTTGGTCAAACACTAGGTCATAAGTGTTCAAACTACACATGTAGGCCTACAGTTGCAAGAAAAAGTATGTGAACCCTTTGGAATTACCTGGATTTCTGCATAAATTGGTCTGAGGAAGCCACGGCTGTCCACGTTTGAAGTTTGCAAAAGAGCACCTGGATGTTCCACAGCACTACTGGCAAAATATTCTGTGGACAGATGAAACCAAAGTTGAGTTGTTTGGAAGGAACACACAACGTTATGTGTGGAGAAAAAAAGGCACAGCACACCAACATCAAAACCTCATCCCAACTGTGAAGTATGGTGGAGGGAGCATCATGGTTTGGGGCTGCTTTGCTGCCTCAGGGCCTGGACAGATTGCCATCATCGACGGAAAAATGAATTCTCAAGTTTATCAAGACATTTTGCTGGAGAACTTAAGGCCATCTGTCCACCAATTGAAGCTCAACAGAAGATGGGTGATGCAACAGGACAACGACCCAAAGCACAGAAGTAAATCAACAACAGAATGGCTTCAACAGAAGAAAATACGCCTTCTGGAGTGGACCAGTCAGAGTCCTGACCTCAACCCAATTGAGATGCTGTGGCATGACCTCAAGAGAGCGATTCACACCAGACATCCCAAGAATATTGCTGAACTGAAATAGTTTTGTAAAGAGGAATGGTCCAAAATTCCTCCTGACCATTGTGCAGGTCTGATATGCAACTATAGGAAACGTTTGGTTGAGGTTATTGCTGCCAAAGGAGGGTCAACCAGTTATTAAATCCAAGGGTTCACATACGTTTTCCACCCTGCACTGTGAATGTTTACATGGTGTGTTCAATAAAAACATGAAAACATATTGTTTGTGTGGTTTTAGCTTAAGCAGACTGTGTTTGTCTATTGTTGTGACTTAGATGAAGATCAGAACACATTTTATGACCAATTTATGCAGAAATCCAGGTAGTTCCAAAGGGTTCACATACTTTTTCTTGCAACTGTAGATGTTATATTATAAAAGTAGCCTTCATACAACTAAAAATGACTTCACAGGTGAGATCCTTAACCATTCAAGTTAAATTTCAACAATGATAGAAGCAAAACCTTTTATCATACAGGGTGTCCTTAACACCTGTGTATTGTTTCTTTCAAATTATGGATCTAACCATGAAACGACATCTCTGGTCCAAGTCAGGCTGGGACACTGACCATCCCGTTACCGTCTGATTGACTTTCCTTGATGTGAAGATAAATATGTTGTCTTTTAAATAAGGGAAAGCATTGTTATACATATAATTGTGGGTCAATGTAGATTAACAAATCAAAATAGTCAGACTCTACCCTTGCATTCATTGGTTTATCGAAATCAAACCGTATGATACATTACACAAAATTATGAAGAACCAAGAATCGGGGGATATTTTTATTTGAACTCTGAAAGGACTTAATGGGCTTTGCATTCTCAAGCTTGTGCAAAGTTGTTTGTATACTTTTGAATACAACTTGTATAGAGCTTCGTGAATAAAGATTTGGGGAAAATAACAATGGGGAATGTCTTCTATTAAGAATACTTGAGGTGAGAACATCTTTTAAATACAATAGGTTAGCCATTGAGGATGTGTACACATTCTTGGTATATTTCCACGTTTTCTTTCCATTCTCTTTGGCTGTTCTTGTGTTTTATCAACACAACCCTCTAATCTACATTTAAAGTATTGGAGCAATATAGAAAATATGTTTTTCTATTTTATAAGTGTCCTAATTACATCATATGAGTTGTATTTAGTCTACTGTTGTGTAAACATGATAGTAATTGTTAAGAAGCTTATCGTACAAATAATTTTATATTGAAAGATATTTTCCCTCTTAAGTAGGCTAAGTCAAAGAAAACCCTGAAATGTGAGCAGAGTTGTGTTACTTCTATGAAATGTTTGGCCATCAACAAGTATATTAGCCATTCCCAAATAAATACTGTATTGTTATGTCTCTATCATTCTTGTGACTTAATTTTGCTTCAGCTGCTGCTGGTAGTCCCTAAAACCAACCAAGGTGTTTGCGAGACAGCGTATACAGAGGCTTTTTGTATTTGGAAGAACACTTTTTGTCATCTCTGTAGGTTGAACAGTTTGTATATCGAGCCTTCTCAGCGGTAGCCCCCAGGCTCTGGATCGACCTGCCCCCCCATGTCAAATTGTCGCCCACCCTCCAAACTTTGAAGTCTCGCCTAAAGACCCACCTCTTTTCCCTCGCTTTTGAGTCAGTCTGAGCTATGTTTTATCGATTTATATGCTTTTATTATGTCCATAGCCTTTATGTACCGTGTATTAATTCTTATGTGTGCTTTTTATCCTTTTATCTTTTCTCATGTGTGCCTTTCATCTATTATTGTAATATTATATTTTATTATAATGTTATATTATTATAATGTTATGTTTGGTGTGAAGCACTTTTGTAAACCCTATTTTTTTAATATGTGCGATACAAATAAAGTGGATTGGATTGGATTTGTAATAGTTGGTATGCCTTTGAAACCAACGGTGCTAGTGAACTGCGAGCGCCGGAACCTGACAGCGGCGGAGAAACTGGAGCGATTACACCAATAGCGCCTCTTAAGTGCATAAAGGTGCGCCGTATTTGCGCTTCAATGCCATGCGATCTACCCACACTACCTTTGCGATCGACGTATTGGGCACCCCCGATCTACAAGATCAATAAACAGGGCTTACTTTGTAGACGTTAGACAAGTCTTAACGAGGCCCACCTGTTGCAAGCTAATTGAACACAGGTGCAAGCATTAGCTGACGCTGCACCTGCCTTGTTGATTGGCTGCCTGGTGGTAATATGTGCCAGTATTAAAAGCCCTGTCTCATGCTTCATTGCCAAGTGCTCTCCACCCGCAGTGAGTTTCATTTTACAGAATGGGAATCCTATGAGCACCTATCACAGCTGTATTGGTTGTCACAGCACCTGCTGATGCTCAAATAGTTGCGGCAAAGAAAGTTATCTCATCTCCTCACATTACCAGCAGTCATGTGCAACAGGATGATACGCAAGAGAAAAGGCACTGGTGTTTACCTGGCTGCAGCTGTTATTCTGACGTGTTATTTTGCGCAAACTATAGACTGTTATCGTCTGAAGAAAACAGAAAGACGAGAAGGGAGAAAATATGCCGATACAACAAATGGGTTCCAAGAGGGGACAATTGTTTTCGGGAGAGCTTTTGAAAAAGGGTCAGGATTTGATTTTCAAGTCACAGGCGGGACCAAGAAGTCATCCCCAAACGCTTATGTGGAGGATGAGGGTGATTATCAAGCAGACTCTGCAGGTAAAAATGTTTTGATTTACGTATTGAAGGGTTTGTTATTTTGCTTGAATTGTTTTGCTTCTCTTTAAAGTATACAAACTATTGAAAAAAAAAAAATATATATATTATATTGGCCTTCAGGCTGGATGAGCCCAACACAAGTCGCCAGTCCCAAAGACTCGTCATGGAAGAGCATGTCGCCCTCACTGCAGTGTGGTTCGGGCAAATTGAAGTTCAGAGCGGTGGAACCAGGAGCATCACAATTTGCGGTAGAACAAGGTAAATCAATAGCCATAATATCCTAAATGTAGACTTGATTTATCTCTACCAATGATATAAAACTGAACTTTTTTACCCCACAGGAAATGCACCTCCAATGCCTCTGTCACAGGTCCCGTCTACCTGTGGCTACAGCATGCAGAGGAACTCGCATGCACTTGAAATGTTGGTTCCCTATGATGGCTGCAACATGGTTCAAGAGGTAATGTGAAACTGATTTAAAGAGTGAGGAAGTGAGTTTAAAAAAACGATGGCTAGTACTGTGAATTGTTATAGTCATGAATGGTGTAACGAGAGCCAAATCAAATGTTTAATCTGCATCATATTGGTCTCAAGCGAAAATGTGTTTTCAGCTTTTCAAATGCGAGTTGTTTTTTGCTTGCTTTCAGATGTAGTGATTAACTATGTTTTTTGGATGGGAACCGACATTCAAATATGTTGCATCATATTTAGAAAATATAGCATGAGATTAATCTTTTGCCTTGTACAGTCGGATTGTAAAATTGACAGGTCTGTGTGATTCCTTGCTGTTTCTAATTGTATGTTTTTCTCCCAAAGGGTGGAAGTTATGTACTCCCGATGCGTTGGCAAGGAATTCCAGTCTCTCTCTGGTGTTCCAAACCTGCCGCACCTCCTGCCGCAACTCCTGCTGCACCTCCTGCTTCCAAAACGAATTCCCCCCATTCCCCTGTACCTCGGATGTCTCAATACCCTCGGATGCCTCAATACCCTCGGATGCCTCAATACCCTCAGATGCCCGAGAAAACAACAGCAACAACCACACGGCCTATAACTGCAAAGGCGACTCAAATTCCTCAATACCCTCAGATTCCTCAATACCCTCAGATGCCTCAAAACCCTAAGATGCCCGAGAAAACAACAGCAACGACCACACGGCCTATAACTGCAAAGGCGACTCAAATTCCTCAATACCCTAAGATGCCGGAGACAACAACAGCAACGACCACACGGCCTATAACTGCAAAGGCATCTCAAATTCCTCAATACCCTAAGATGCCGGAGACAACAACAGCGACCACACGGCCTATAACTGCAAAGGCATCTCAAATTCCTCAATACCCTAAGATGCCGGAGACAACAACAGCAACGACCACACGGCCTATAACTGCAAAGGCATCTCAAATTCCTCAATACCCTAAGATGCCGGAGACAACAACAGCAACGACCACACGGCCTATAACTGCAAAGGCATCTCAAATTCCTCAATACCCTCAGATGCCTCAATACCCTCAGATGCCTCAATACCCTCAGATGCCTCAATACCCTGAGATGCCTCAATACCCTGAGATGCCTCAACACCCTCAGATGCCTCAACACCCTCAGATTCCTCAACACCCTCAGATTCCTCAACACCCTCAGATTCCTCAACACCCTCAGATTCCTGAATACCCTCAGATTCCTGAATACCCTCAGATTCCTGAATACCCTCAGATTCCTCAACACCCTCAGATTCCTCAACACCCTCAGATTCCTCAACACCCTCAGATTCCTCAACACCCTCAGATTCCTCAACACCCTCAGATGCCTCAATACCCTCAGATGCCTCAATACCCTCAGATGCCTCAATACCCTCAGATGCCTCAATACCCTCAGATGCCTCAATACCCTCAGATTCCTGAATACCCTCAGATTCCTCAATACCCTGAGATGCCTCAATACCCTCAGATGCTTCAAAACCCTAAGATGCCGGAGAAAACGACAGCAACGACCACACGGCCTATAACTGCAAAGGCGACTCAAATTCCTAAAATTCCTGCACTGCCTCAGATTCCTGAATACCCTCAGATTCCTGAATACCCTCAGATTCCTGAATACCATCAGTTTCCTCAATACCCTCAGATTCCTCAATACCCGCAGGTTCCTCAATACCCTCAGATTCCTCAATACCCTCAATACCCTCAGGTTCCTCAATACCCTAAGATGCCCGAGAAAACAACAGCAACGACCACACGGCCTAAAACTGCAAAGGCGACTCAAATTCCTAAAATTCCTGCACTGCCTCAGATTCTTCAATACCCTCAGATGCCTCAATACCCTCAGATTCCTCAATACCCTCAGATTCCTCAATACCCTCAGATTCCTGAATACCCTCAGATTCCTCAATACCCTCAGATTCCTGAATACCCTCAGATTCCTGAATACCCTCAGATTCCTGAATACCCTCAGATTCCTGAATACCCTCAGATTCCTCAATACCCTCAGATTCCTCAATACCCTCAGATTCCTCAATACCCTCAGATTCCTCAATACCCTCAGATTCCTCAATACCCTCAGATTCCTCAATACCCTCAGATTCCTCAATACCCTCAGATTCCTCAATACCCTCAGGTTCCTCAATACCCTCAATACCCTCAGGTTCCTCAATACCCTAAGATGCCCGAGAAAACAACAGCAACGACCACACGGCCTAAAACTGCAAAGGCGACTCAAATTCCTAAAATTCCTGCACTGCCTCAGATGCCTCAATACCCTCATATTCCTCAATACCCTCATATTCCTCAATACCCTCATATTCCTCAATACCCTCATATTCCTCAATACCCTCAGATTCCTCAATACCCTCAGATTCCTGAATACCCTCAGATTCCTGAATACCCTCAGATTCCTGAATACCCTCAGATTCCTGAATGCCCTCAGATGCCTCAAAACCCTAAGATGTCCGAGACAACGACCACACGGCCTACAACTGCAAAGGTGACTACAATTCCTATATAATTAGCCGATGCCTGAATACCCTAAGATGCCGGAGACAACAACAGCAACGACCACAAAGCCTAAAACTGCAAAGGCGACTCAAATTCCTAAAATTCCTGCACTGCCTCAGATACCTCAAAACCCTCGGATGCCTCAAATACTCAGATGACTCAATACGCTCAAATGCCGTTTCCACAATATATGCCGATGTATCCTCCCTTAATCCTCTTTATCCTCCCAAATATCCAGCTACAAAGCCAAAACCTACTGCGGCGACAACACCAACTACAACTAAACCAAAGGCTACAAATCCCTCATTGCAGCTTCCACCATCTATGCCTTACTATCATCTTTACCCTATGATCCCTCCCTATCCCCAATATCCAGCCACTCAGCCGACAACCACTCCAACTACCACTGTGAAACCAGATCACCCGCCCACTCCGGCACCCCGTCCTCCTTTTCATCCCCATGTTCACTTGCCATACCAATGCTGCCTCCTTTTCCTCCTCCACGCTACCTTACTTAAACAGTTGTAATAAAAGTTTTGAACAGACGCTTTCCAGTTTGTGCTTTTGTTAACCTTCAAGTACCCAAGAGACTCTTTATTCCAGGCTCTTCAAGAAGTCTCATTTGGTTTGTGAATGAGTGAACAGTCCATATTGAGAAAATGACATTTAATTTAAACAGGAAAATTGTGCTTAAACTTAAAGTGCACACTTTAAATTCCTACATTTATAAATGTAATTAATGTTTAGCATTTGAAGTGTTGTCATAGTGTGGCTTTGTGTCCACATGGTGGCATCATTGCTCAACCATTTCTTAGGTTTTGAATTGGAACATTTTGTGTTCACACTAGCTTTCCTTGTGTGAACAAGCTTTAAAATGGTTGTTTTTTTGAAAACGTATTTCAGTCAAAGGTAAAGTTCCATCATGTCCTTTCCTAAAATAAGTAACATCTGCTGTGTGAGGGACGCTGGCTTCACTCATTACATACACCAACTCTGAAATGGAGCATTTACAACTTTGGGCAGTTCTGCAAAACATTGAACCTTCAGCATTTGTCTCTTTTTGGTTTTGTAAACTGGCGTAAGCATTACTAAATATTTGGTCAAACACTAGGTCATAAGTGTTCAAACTACACATGTAGATGTTATATTATAAAAGTAGCCTTTATACAACTAAAAATGACTTCACAGGTGAGATCCTTAACCATTCAAGTGAAATTTCAACAATGATAGAAGCAAAACCTTTTATCATACAGGGTGTCCTTAACACCTGTGTATTGTTTCTTTCAAATTATGGATCTAACCATGAAATGACATCTCTGGTCCAAGTCAGGCTGGGACACTGACCATCCCGTTACCGTCTGATTGACTTTCCTTGATGTGAAGAGATGTTGTCTTCTAAATAAGGGAAAGCATTATTATTAGGGCCGGGACTTTAACGCGTTAATTAAGATGAATTAATTACACAAAAATTAACGCGTTAAAATTAACGCATTTTAATCGCACTTATTTTTGCACCGCGGAACGTTTCTCACTGGATGAGTTTCAGGCGTACCGATTATACTGGAGCACCAACTAACGTTCATGACTTCAGACAACAACAAACCACAGTGAACAACAGTGGGAAATGTTGTTTTAAAAAACGGACGGATGGAAGCGTCGATAAGAGCACGGTTGTGTGCAAATTATGCAAAAAGGAATTCGCATATCACCGCAGCACATCAAGCCTCAAGTATCACCTCAATGCAAAACATATAGCAGCTAGCGTGGACGTTAGCCTCTTTTATCGCGTTCACACCAAAAAGAGCCGGTACTAAAATTAGTTCACCCCACGAAAGTCCCTGCTAGAGAGCAGGGACTTTCGTACGGCTCTCTTGTGAGAAGAGAGCTATATGTCTGATTGGCTGGGCGGATTGCAAACCACGCCCCGTAAAACTCCCAAAAAGTGTTGTGAAGCCGCCATTGTCGCCATATCCTCGCATTAGCATTATTAGCATTAGCCCAGCGCAGAAACGCAGAGAGACTAACTTATGGCAACACAAAATAAAACATGGGAGCGGTGGAGATGAGGAGGTGTCGGCGTTCCTGCGATTTACTCGGAAGGCTTCAGTAGAAGCTGCTGGGACTCCCAGCAGCTTCTACTGAAGCCAGTCCCCAACTCCGGGGACTTCCGGCCGGGGACTTTGGGCGGCAGTATACGCCGTGAAGTGGTTTGCGGCCTGCCAGTAAAACCCAAAGCAGAAGAAGAAGAAGTGACGTCAGCGTCTTCATTTGCCTAATCCACCCCCAGGTTCAAAGAGTTCTCATGAACTAAGTTCTCATGAACCTTTGTGGGAAAAGTACTGCGGTGTGAATGCGCCTAATGGTATACTAAAATCCATGTGAAAAAAATTGCTTCTCACTGTTCTCAGGTCAAATATTTATATGTGATTAAAAATGCGATTAATTTCGATTAATTAATTACAAAGCCTCTAATTAATTAGATTAATTTTTTTAATCGAGTCCCGGCCCTAATTATTATACATATAATTGTGGGTCAATGTAGATTAACAAATCAAAATAGTCAGACTCTTCCCTTGCATTCATTGGTTTATCGAAATCAAACCGTATGATACATTACACAAAATTATGAAGAACCAAGAATCGGGGGATATTTTTATTTGAACTCTGAAAGGACTTAATGGGCTTTGCATTCTCAAGCTTGTGCAAAGTTGTTTGTATACTTTTGAATACAACTTGTATACCGCTTCGTGAATAAAGATTTGGGGGAAATAATTAATTTCTCGTTTTTTCCCCTTTCCTGTCAAGTTGGGGAAAATAACAATGGGGAATGTCTTCTATTAAGAATACTTGAGGTGAGAACATATTTTAAATACAATAGGTTAGCCATTGAGGATGTGTACACATTCTTGGTATATTTCCATGTTTTCTTTCCATTCTCTTTGGCTGTTCTTGTTTTTTATCAACACAACTCTCTAATCTACATTTAAAGTATTGGAGCAATATAGAAAATATGTTTTTCTATTTTATAAGTGTCCTAATTACATCATATGAGTTGTATTTAGTCTACTGTTGTGTAAACATGATAGTAATTGTTAAGAAGCTTATCGTACAAATAATTTTATATTGAAAGATATTTTCCCTCTTAAGTAGGCTAAGTCAAAGAAAACCCTGAAATGTGAGCAGAGTTGTGTTACTTCTATGAAATGTTTGGCCATCAACAAGTATATTAGCCATTCCCAAATAAATACTGTATTGTTATGTCTCTATCATTCTTGTGACTTATTTTGCTTCAGCTGCTGCTGGTAGTCCCTAAAACCAACCAAGGTGTTTGCGAGACAGCGTATACAGAGGCTTTTTGTATTTGGAAGAACACTTTTTGTCATCTCTGTAGGTTGAACAGTTTGTATATCGAGCCTTCTCAGCGGTAGCCCCCAGGCTCTGGATCGACCTGCCCCCCCATGTCAAATTGTCGCCCACCCTCCAAACTTTGAAGTCTCGCCTAAAGACCCACCTCTTTTCCCTCGCTTTTGAGTCAGTCTGAGCTATGTTTTATCGATTTGTATGCTTTTATTATGTCCATAGCCTTTATGTACCGTGTATTCATTCCTATGTGTGCTTTTTATCCTTTTATCTTTCTCATGTGTGCCTTTCATCTATTATTGTAATATTATATTTATTATAATGTTATATTATTATAATGTTATGTTTGGTGTGAAGCACTTTTGTAAACCCTCTTTTTTTAATATGTGCTATACAAATAAAGTGGATTGGATTGGATTTGTAATAGTTGGTATGCCTTTGAAACCAACCGTGCTAGTGAACTGCGAGCGCCGGAACCTCACAGCGGCAGAGAAACTGGAGCAATTACACCAATAGCGCCTCTTAAGCGCATAAAGGTGCGCCGCCTTTGCGCTTCAATGCCATGCGATCTACCCACACTACCTTTGCGATCGACGTATTGGGCACCCCCGATCTACAAGATCAATATACAGGGCTTACTTTGTAGACGTTAGACAAGTCTTAACGAGGCCCACCTGTTGCAAGCTAATTGAACACAGGTGCAAGCATTAGCTGAGGCTGCACCTGCCTTGTTGATTGGCTGCCTGGTGGTAATAAGTGCCAGTATTAAAAGCCCTGTCTCATGCTTCATTGCCAAGTGCTCTCCACCTGCAGTGAGTTTGATTTTACAGAATGGGAATCCTATGAGCACCTATCACAGCTGTATTGGTTGTCACAGCACCTGCTGATGCTCAAATAGTTGCGGCAAAGAAAGTTATCTCATCTCCTCACATTACCAGCAGTCATGTGCAACAGGATGATACGCAAGAGAAAAGGCACTGGTGTTTACCTGGCTGCAGCTGTTATTCTGACGTGTTATTTTGCGCAAACTATAGACTGTTATCGTCTGAAGAAAACAGAAAGACGAGAAGGGAGAAAAGATGTCGATACAACAAATGGGTTCCAAGAGGGGACAATTGTTTTCGGGAGAGCTTTTGAAAAAGGGTCAGGATTTGATTTTCAAGTCACAGGCGGGACCAAGAAGTCATCCCCAAACGCTTATGTGGAGGATGAGGGTGATTATCAAGCAGACTCTGCAGGTAAAAATGTTTTGATTTACGTATTGAAGGGTTTGTTATTTTGCTTGAATTGTTTTGCTTCTCTTTAAAGTATACAAACTATTGAAAAAAAAAAAATATATATATATTATATTGGCCTTCAGGCTGGATGAGCCCAACACAAGTCGCCAGTCCCAAAGACTCGTCATGGAAGAGCATGTCGCCCTCACTGCAGTGTGGTTCGGGCAAGTTGAAGTTCAGAGCGGTGGAACCAGGAGCATCACAATTTGCGGTAGAACAAGGTAAATCAATAGCCATAATATCCTAAATGTAGACTTGATTTATCTCTACCAATGATATAAAACTGAACTTTTTTACCCCACAGGAAATGCACCTCCAATGCCTCTGTCACAGGTCCCGTCTACCTGTGGCTACAGCATGCAGAGGAACTCGCATGCACTTGAAATGTTGGTTCCCTATGATGGCTGCAACATGGTTCAAGAGGTAATGTGAAACTGATTTAAAGAGTGAGGAAGTGAGTTTAAAAAAACGATGGCTAGTGCTGTGAATTGTTATAGTCATGAATGGTGTAACGAGAGCCAAATCAAATGTTTAATCTGCATCATATTGGTCTCAAGCGAAAATGTGTTTTCAGCTTTTCAAATGCGAGTTGTTTTTTGCTTGCTTTCAGATGTAGTGATTAACTATGTTTTTTGGATGGGAACCGACATTCAAATATGTTGCATCATATTTAGAAAATATAGCATGAGATTAATCTTTTGCCTTGTACAGTCGGATTGTAAAATTGACAGGTCTGTGTGATTCCTTGCTGTTTCTAATTGTATGTTTTTCTCCCAAAGGGTGGAAGTTATGTACTCCCGATGCGTTGGCAAGGAATTCCAGTCTCTCTCTGGTGTTCCAAACCTGCCGCACCTCCTGCCGCAACTCCTGCTGCACCTCCTGCTTCCAAAACGAATTCCCCCCATTCC